AATTAGACGCTGATTTTTACCATATAAAATTTATGTCACATAGTAGACTCGTTGGAGGAATTTCGAAGTGCGCTTGGGTAGATTTCCCATAGAAAAAGGCTCATTTTTCGTATTTTGCACTAAGTGCCCTGGAGCCGTTCTTGGAGATCCCACGCTAATTATTTTAGAGAATTGTAGCCCAAAGAGAGTACTTTCAAGTTCTAATAATCAACGCCCCAGACAATCCATATTTTGAGAGAAAGCCTATTCTAAAAGTCCCCACATTTATCAAAATTCCGTTTTTCACGGGACTGCCCTGAGCAAATGGAACAGTATGAATAGCTGAAACCTTCAGCAGAGATACATCTTTTAGTGTCCTATTAATAGTAAAAATTTGAGAGTCATACATAATTCCCATCAAAAGTTATGAAGTGCCAAAGTTACCATCTCAAGTCATATTTTTCAAAAAAATTTCAGGTGTTTTCGAAAAAATTTATTTTTCCTCAAAAAGTCTGTTTCTGCATTAAAAAAAAAATTTTCAAAAAAATTTTTTTTTGACCTTTGACCCGGCCACAAGAATACATACATACATACATACATACAAACGCATTTAATTTTTTTCATATGACCTTCCCTTCAGTCGAGGGAATATACCCTTTAAGGGTTTATGAGAATCATATACCCTTTCATATACCCTTCCAAAGGGTTTATGAAAGGGTTTATGAAAAGTGTGACACACGATAAAAAGCGTATATTATTCGTTGCACTTTCATAAACCCTTAAAGGGTTTATTATTGTACGCTTTTTTTTACAGTGTGCTAGTAGTACAATAAATCCAAGAAGAAAAAGACCATGTGTGAAGTGGTCTCATAGTTTTAGCCAGTACTGTACAGAGTACCAATGATATTCGTATTGATCGGCTTCAAACATACTGTAAGAATAATTTTAAAACCGTATTGAATATGGTATTGAAGCTATTTCTATTTAGATAGTGATTTAAGAAAAAAGTAAAACTCAAGATATCGACAACGAATTTATGAAAAACCTTTTGTTTGAATTCAGGAAAATGGTCTTTCTAATTGATGTAAATTCCTTTCATATACTTAAAAGGATTGCTAATCGAAATGATAATCAAGAGGAACACGATAATATAAATATCGTGACAGAAGATATATATGAAGTAAGAAGAATTTGAATTTTTTTTTTTTGAATTCATGTGACATTCATCTCGTACAACCTTAACATTTGGTTTTTTATTTATTGTTTTAGTTGATTATGATAACAATGATGATGAGGATATATTAAACAACAATGATTTTGAATTTTTATATGAAGAAGATTGCGTTGATGAAGATTCAGGCGAATCTAAACCAGATGAAAATGGTTTGCCAATAGATTATAAAAATGCACAACATCAAATTTTTTAATGAAGCAGTAGAATTATTTGACGGAGAGTAGACGTGGGTTGTGAAGTGTGAATATGGGTGAATAGGCCACACCTCACAACCATACCGACACTCTGAGATAAAGCGATAGAGTACAGAAGCAACTGAGTCATGTGCTATAGAGATCAATGGGAATCAGTGTTTGTGACGACATAAAACGTTTTGAATATCACGTTCCTAACGGTTCAGAAAACGCGTTCGATGCTTGCGTGCAGCACGAGTGTAACCCGAATTCACCTCGATCTAGATTTAGATGCTTTCAAATACGTTGTCTTACAGTGTTTCAAACCCATCTAAAACTCGTTAAAAACGCGTTCAGGTGCCATTAATTTTTACATCTGGATGGTCGAAGAAAAATAAAGTCACTTTTTATCGATCCATTTTCATATTCGTACATAGTAATTTTTTATTGTTTCAGATAAATCGGTATCAAAAGGTTTTTGTTTCTGTTGCCTCTTAATCAGATCATTTCTACAAACTTCTATTTGCGCGCGATGTGTAGTTCACTTAGTCTTATTGTACGTGAAACAAACAGCAATCAGATAAAGTCAATGACGACCAATCTTCCTGATCCAAGAGTAAGTTCATATGGATAGTTGTATTTAGAGTGTAGAGTATATGAGCTAAATCTGCACCTTCAGAACATAATTAAACAAGTACAGGATTTTTAAGAGCATTATATTAATAGAATCCACTTCTTGCAACCTACAACTTGTATCATTGTGAGGCTGCAATAGTACAAAGCAAAAATATGCGTGAAAGTCTTCTTGAACGAGCTAAGTAAAAGTCTCATTTGTTAATTTTTTGTAATTGATTCATTTACTTCTGTATTCATACAGAGATATTAACAAGTACATGAAAACGCAAGAGGCACAACGATCCTCCAAGGCAAGAGTTAAATTGATTTGATTGATCATTGAAAATAAAACGGATATTAACTTGTTGTAGAGAAGGAGAAATCTTATTGCATTCACCCTTCTAATTGCTGCATCATTCTGGTTTATCTGGATTTTGTTGTCATTACGTATGGTTAGCTATTCAGTAGCTCAAGGTAGATTCGAGACCCTGTGAACTTCTTGCTAATTAATGATTTTCAAAGATAGAGCAGGCAGACAACTGGCCAGCGGGTACAAAGAAAGGTAATATTCGCAGAAAGCTAAACAAGAAAGCGATCTCATCACCTATTAATATAATTTGGGCAGCTTCTTCTATTCGGAAATGTTCACAATGAGTCCGATGTCATGGGCCAAAAAACAAGTGGGGATTGTGGCTTCAGTATCTGACTACGCTTGTATTGCTATTTTTACATTATTGATCATTCTGGCACTTTTTGGTATCCGTGGTAAGTCCAAATTTAATACAAACTTACAGTCACAAGCTGAGTTCATCTCAATGGAGCTCTAAGATTAGCAATATCACTTGACATCCAAATTTATTGAATATTTGATCTTTATAGTAATCCTCGCTACTGGAACGCAATGGTTACGGAGAATATTCAGATCTTTAAACATTCGAATCCGAGTGCTACGACTTAGAATTCAATCCTTGGATATTTATCGAATTTGGGATACATGCCAAAGTAGACTTTCATTTAATCCATATAGACGTTGTTCAGTTTTTAACTTGCAAAGTGACAACGAAGTGATGATTATTCTTTTCGATCCATCAAACAAGTTCTCGAGCATCATACAAACATTTGATGAGCTGATTGTACATTGTACAAGCATCAATGATTGTCTACAAAATATGCGCTCAAATAGAAACAAAAAAATCTATCTCTTCGTCTCAATGAGTAGTGCTCGCCTTCTGCTAGTCGAACTACAATCATATATGCCCGTATTAATAACTGTCATTTGTGACGAAGCACACAATGACATCGACTCATTGAAACAGTTAGCCAAAGGCAAAACTCTCTGCATTATTCCCGAAAACTTTCTTATTGAATTTTTGCGACATGCAGCTATTATCTATTATTCTCTTCGTGCATACACTTGCATTCAATTAGGCCATGAAGAAGAAACCGAGCAATATAACTTAGCTGCTTATCATCAATGTCAATCACTTTGCGAAGACTTCCAGCAACATTTACACACTGGATTCGGAGAGACAGAACAACCTATTATTTATGCAACATCGAATGAAGATCGATTAGTTGATGAGTCTGTATATCGGCGTACAACACATCAATAGAAGCACAAATAAAAATTCAAAAACCTGCGCCATCTGATTCTAAAACAGAATCACATTTCCATCAGAGTTTCTAATACTGCGCTGGTACATAGAACTCAACAAAAGTTTTAATCAACAACTATCAAAACAGATTAAATAAAATACATTGAATGAAAGAGCAGAATTTTTTACTTCTAGATTTCTTGTTTTCAATACAGCAACTCTAGTTTCATCGTATTTCTTCAATCATTTAAATAAACTCACATTTCTGTTTTCTTTTTATAATGACGAAAAAAAAGAGGTGATTAGGAATACACACATAGCACATAAGTAGTATGAAATACGAAAAAAATAACCGCAGCCATTGTTAGCGTCAATAGAGGGTGTGGGTGTGGGTCAGAGCGCGAAAAAATTGGTAAAAGTTAGATTCGGTTCGATTCGATTCGACTGAACTTGGGTTCAACTCGATTCGCTTTTCCAAAATGCCGAATCGATTCGATTCGACCCGACAAAAGGTCTGCTCAATTCGATTCGATTCGGATTCGTTTTCAACTTTTAATATTCGATTCGATTCGATTCGATAGAGAAAAAATTTCAATTCGATTCGATTCGATTCGGTTTATATTCTATGAAAAAAAGCCACATTATTAATTTTAAATTTCTATAGCTTTTTCGACAATATCGTCTCCCCGTGATGATAGATGATTCTCACTCGTCTCTATAAAAATATAATTTTGATAATCTCCAAATATATCAATAATAATTATTTATTTTTACAAGAAAAAAAATATATATAATGAAGCATATTTAGATAAATCAAAAAAAATTTAAGAAAATTTATTTTCGATCGAACGAAGAAAAATAATGTCATTGCCTGTTGATAGATCAAGGCTATTTTTTTTGTTTGATTTTTAGAAAAATGATTTCCTGATCGAGGAGAAAGAATAAATGAACTAATACTAGTTTGATCAGATGATTCATTTTGATGACAATTATGACCATATAAATTAGCTGTGCTGGAATCTATATTTATATGTATCAAAACATGTTTTGCATGAAACGAAACCGGGTATAACTTCATATGTTTTTACTTTGTCATTCTTTACTTTTGCCGGGAAACCGAACGTATTCCAGCAAGATGCTGTTGCTCGCTTCCTTTTATTACAAATTACTTCAAAATTTTCATTATCTTCAAGTAATGCATGTCGAATAGAAGATGTTGAATAAATTCATGTTGTTGAAGATAATGTACGAGTTGGTGTTGCACAAGAAGAAGTAGATGATGAAGTATCGTCAACGTTTAACATAGTTATTTGTGACATTTATCTAAAATTTAATCACTAACATTAGACCGCCGTTTAGTCTGAACGAGAAAAAGAAATGAATGAGATAACACGTTCTTTGTACGGTTATCTTTTATATCAATTCATATGCACTCGTCCATAACTAAATATAAGAAAAACAAAAGAGGGCGTTGTCAACCGAATGAGTGAGAAAAAATTTGATTCGATTCGACTCGACCAGCACATTGGTCAATTCGATTCGATCCGATTCGCTGTTTTACTGTCTTTATTCGATTCGACTCGACTCGACAAAAAAAAGGAACTATTCGATTCGATTCGATTCGCATATGATGATGTTCAATTCGTAATCGATTCGATTCGGCTAGGACAAGCCGAATAGGCGAATGATTCGATTCGATTCGATTCGTTTTCGAGCTCTGGTGTGGGTGCGTGTGTGGGTGGGTGTGGGTGTGGGTGTGGGTGCGTGTGTGGGTGTGGGTAGGTGTGGGGGTGGGTGTGGGTGTGGGTGAGCGTGTGGGTGTGGGTATGGGTGTGGGTGTGGGTATGGGTGTGGGTGTGGGTGTGGGTATGGGTGTGGGTGCGGGTGTGGATGTGGGTGTTCTTTTCTTTGACATCCACATCTATACCCACACCCACATCCACACCCCACCCACACCCACACTCACATCCACACACACCCACACCCACACACACCCACACCCCACACCCACACCCACCACCCACACCCACACCCATCACCCACCACCCACACCCATACCTACACCCACACCCACACCCTCGGTTCCACAAGTATACAAGGAACTAGTAGACAAAACTGTTATAAAATCCATGTACCATTATCCTGGCATGCTTGGTAACTCTTGGAATAAAAATACATTCAATTGAATCTTCACAAAAATGCTCTTTAGCGAACAAATTAATATGAATATTTATCTCCGACGATTATAAAGGCAATTAGATTCGTTTCCACCTAATCATTGACCTAAGAGCTGTTTTTCAATTGAAATATAAGATCGATTTTATTACTTGATTCTTATTGATTTTTTAATAGTATATATTGTGTTTGTAAGGAGATTGAAAGAAAAAGGAAATAAACATGAATATAAAATAATATTTTACAATACACAACAGTGATTCTTTGTATCTATAATAATATAGATACTTGAAAATAAATTTCAGTCTAGATATGATTCAAAATTACTTGTTTTCCTTAATTAGAGTGTGGAGTGCGCGTGTGGATGGTTGTGGCACAAATACAGTGTTAACACAGCCTCACACTCATACCAACACCCACACCCTCTAACATATTGTTGTGTTCTATTTCTTATTTTAAAATGTGACACTTTTTTGCGTTTATTCTGTTCTGTTAGTTTGATGACTCATTATATAGTTTTATTTCATATAGTTATTGCACAAAAACGAGAAAAATTGACATGTAGTTACAAAGCCATTTTTTTATGCTTGCAATAAACTTTGAATAGTATTTATTTGACAAAAATGACAAATTCT